GCATCGGTTGGAACCACCAAAACGCATTGGAAGACGCGTTTCATTAAGGGCAAAGTTAGAAGAAAACCAGTTTTTCTGCAGGCACGCAGGCGCCTGGTGCCTCCCATGAAGGTTTTTCCGTCTTTTTGCTTCTTTTGATTAATTTGCACTCCCAAATGGTCCTAAAATGTCATAAATACAATATAAGCCAACCAAAAACCATAATATATGAATTTTGCATGAATTGAAACTCAAACGATCGAGAAAAATCCGAAACAAAGCTGAAACATAATAAAAACAGCATCTAAAACCTTCTTTTTACGCATGTAAACAAGCGTAATCAACTCCCGCAGGGGTGATCACGAGGGAGGAGTTCGACCAGCTGAGGGGCAAGCTCGATGCTCAGGTGGAGGCCTTAAAGGCCAAATGTGAGCAGAAAGAAGGCTCACTGAACGATGGCGTCTTGGGAGAATCGCCCTTCACCTCGGACGTTTTGGAAGCACCGATCCCTCCGAAGTTCAAAGCTCCTACCGTGAAGCCTTATGATGGGTCGAAGGACCCCAAGGATTATGTTGAGGTCTTTGAAGACCTCATGGACTTCCAAGCGGCATCAGACGCAATCAAATGCCGCGCCTTTTAGATCGCGCTTACTGGCAGCGCGCGATTGTGGTATCGGAGATTGCCAGCCAGGTCGATCTCGACCTACTCTCAGCTGAAAAGGGAGTTCCTCGCCCAGTTCTCTTCTCGGCATTATGATAAAAAGACAGCGACCCATCTCGCCACCATCAGACAGAAGGAGGGTGAGACGCTGCGGGAATATGTCACCAGATTCCAGGAGGAGCAGTTGAAGGTCGCACACTGCTCCGATGACTCGGCCATGTTCTATTTTCTCACCGGTCTAGCTGATAAGAAAACAATAGCCAATTGGATCTAAGAACCCTTATGGTTATGCAAACCCCTAGATCACAAGTGCTAAAACCCCCAAATCAAGATGATGTCAACCCAAGGAAGAAGTTAGAACGGATTTACCTTGATGATCAATATCAAGAGTAGAGAAAACTTGTTTCTAAACTCAAGATTCGAACCACTCCACAAGATAGCTTGATCAAGGCTACTTGAATGATTCTAGCATGCAATTCTAAAACACAAGAAATGCAAAGGAAAAGCTCATGGCTCAATAAGCTTAAATTTCATTATCTCAAAACTCAAATCTCAAATCTATTTTTCCAAGGGATTAAGCTAGGCTATTTATAGCCTCCAAAACAACCCTTCAAGTAACCTAAAAGAATTGTAAAGGTTGTAACTCCCTACTACAT